TACTATGAAGAGCTTCGAAGGCGTTCTTAAAGTCAGCATTTGTTAAAGTTTCATTTGAACTGTCTTCATCCGCTTGTATTTTTGTCCTTATTGACCCTATAAGCTGAGCTGCTTTAGCGTTGGCTTGGGCATCTAACCAGTCATTGTTAGCTTTTATATATTCTGCGCTTTTCATTGCCTTTTGCATGGCTGCGTCGTTATTTTTACTTTCTTGTGCTAAGTTTTCATACTGTACGGTTTGGTTTTGCAACTGTAAAAGTTTTTCTGCCTTTACATTTGCTTCAACTTCTTTTTTATACTCATCGCTATCCATATATGTCTTCAGGGCTTTTTGTTTTATCTCTTCATCTTTCAGTATTTTATATTGAGTAGTATGGTTTTTCAAATTTATGACATCTTGTTCCATTTTTGCTACTTCTGCTGCTTTTTCTGACACTTTTTTCGCATATTGCTCTGTACTTAGTTCTTTCAGTTGTTCTTCTTTCTTCTTTTTCTCTACGTTTAACTCATTGAGTTTCTTTGTGTGTCTGTCATATTCTAGTTTCTTTTCGTTTTCACTTATTTGCTTCTGTATGTCTATGTTTGACTTTTTGACATCTGTTATTTGATTTTTGAGTGAACTCAAATTCATTTGACTTTGAGGTTATAGGCTGTTCCGTCTGCAGCTCCACCATAGCCTGCCATTTTCGCTAAAAGTGCCGCTCTTAAACCTCCACTCTGTGCACCAACAACTCGGTTTAAAAGCATAGGATTGCTTGACATTTGTTGCAACATAGTGGGGTCATTCAGCATTTGTTGTTGCAACTGTTGTTGTGGTGTTAGTCTTACTATTGGATGTTTCAATGCTCTCTTCCTCTTACGTATATTCTTACGTATCTTACGTGGCATTTTAAGTGAAGTTAAAAAGCGGCTTTTGACAGATGTTTTATTGAGACTTCTTCGTAAAGACTTTGTTGAGACTTCTTCGTAAATGAGTGTAAATGACCCAAAAATATATTTTAGGGTAGAAGGGTATATCTACCCCGTTTTCTACCCTCTTTTCTACCCTCTTGAATTTTCATGAATTTCTTCGTAAAGACTTTGTCAAGACTTCTTCGTAAAGACTTTGTTAAGACTTCTTCGTAAAGACTTTGTTGAGACTTCTTCGTAAAGACTTTGTTGAGACTTCTTCGTAAAGACTTTGTCAAGACTTCATCGTAAAGACTTTGTTGAGATTTCTTCGTAAATGACCCTAGTAGTATATTTTTGGTGTAAATTTCATGAAAATTCAAGAGGGTAGAAAAGAGTTAGAAAAGAGGTTAGATATACCCTTCTACCCTAAAATATATTTTTGGTGTAAATTTCATGAAAATTCAAGAGGGTAGAAATGAGGGTAGAAAACGGGGTAGATATACCCTTCTACCCTAAAATATATTTTTTGGTGTAAATTTCATGAAAATTCAAGAGGGTAGAAATGAGGGTAGAAAACGGGGTAGATATACCCTTCTACCCTAAAATATATTTTTATTGAATTCTGTATAAAATTCTGAGTAAAATGACAGATGTTTATATGACCCTTACTTGTCCGGTTTATAGGACCTCTCTCATATTCTATCTTGTCGTAAATAAAACTCACAGTCATGTATGTCCTCTAAACTTCATTTATACTAAACATCTTCGGGGCTAGAAGGCACGAAGTGCCTGGAAGCCCCACTACCTTTTTTTTTTTTTTTTTTTTTTTTTTTTTTTTTTATTGTGTATAAAAAACAACTTAACCAAATCAATCTGAACCTGAATTTTGAGAATTTTCTGTGAAGTTTGCAAAATCAAAGGATCTTTACAACTTCCATCTTGAGCTGATGTTGAAAGAAGATTCTTCAATAATATGGTCTAAGGGTTTCGTTTTGCGAAAAAAACGTACAATACGCAATTTCGCTAAAAAACATTTAGCTAGCAATTTCGACCTTTGACTCCACTCAAGACGTCACTTTTTTAATTTTGCGGTATCATATTTTTGGAAAATCTTTATGAATATTATATAAAAAGTCTCTTTAATATCTATATTTCATATTTTTATCGATTTTTAAAGTTTTTGCGAAAAGTATTCAATTATTTTTGCTATTTGGTCGGGTAAATGTCAGATTTGCGACATTTTCTGATATGATATTCAGATTCTACGTTGATAATAATGCTTATAGAACCCTCTTGCTATTGTGTCAAAATTGCGAAACCGATAGCAAAAATATCTCGCAATATCAAAATTGAGATATTGAGTGAATTATGCATTATAGAGATTAAAAATCTGATTTGTGAAAACATCTCATCAGTTTCTAGCTAATTCAAAAATCTTTACTATCTTATTCGATTAAAATGAAAAGGGAATAGTTTCATTATGCTTTAAATGACAGCCTTATAATATAATCATAGTTTTCGCTCAATATGCAGCATTTTTTTTTCGAAATCTATGGTCAATATCCTAAATACTGATTGCTTTGCATTCATATCTCTTACATTTTCTATACCCACATCACTATTCATTGCTATTCCTATCTTTTTCATTTTTGTTTGTTTCTCATAATTTCTCAAAAAACATGATAACTTGATATTTGTAAATATCATACTTTATAACGTAAATAAGAACTTGACCTATTAAGAAAAGCAGTAATGAAAAGAAAATCTGAAATTCATAAAAATTACAAGTTTCTGATGACAATTAGCTTAATTAAACCAGGTACAAGATTATATAATTGTATTTTCTATCCAATTATCCATATAATATCTTATCCAGAAAAAATAACTTGATCAATACCAAATGATTTTTTAACTAGTAAATAAAGTATTTTCTTTCCACACACATTGTATATCATAGTTTTTTTTTGGTTTCGCAAAACATCCAAAAACAAATATGCTATAAAAGTGATAATTTTAGCAAAACGAAACCCTTATTCTGGTACAGAAAATATACAAATCCAGAAATATCTTATATGATCATTCTGGATTTAAATTTCCTTTGAGTACGCTAATTGCAAATTTTTGTTCTATTAAAAAATAAGCAGCTTCCGGATTTCATTAAATTTGATTAATTTTGGATATTGATTATTTGCTAGAGACTTCAATGAGAATAAGGTTTTATTATTTATTTAAGAAGTGTGCCGTTGAACTTCTGGACGAACCATTCCTTAGCCTCCTCACGCTTGACACGCTGGTTTGGACCAATGCGGGACTGGCAGTGCTTGCGGCGGGAGATACGGTTGCCTGGGCGCTCAAGAACGACGTAAAGATCCATACCGTGGATACCGATATCACGATCGTACTTAAGACCAAGATCGATGTGCTCCTTGATGCCGAAGCCGAAGTTGCCCTCGATTGAGAAGCAGCGGCCGGAGATTTCGTAATCGTGGACTTGAAGAGCGCGGTTAAGGATTTCAAGAGCCTTTGGACCACGGATTGTTGCGTAAGCAGCAATCTTATCGTTACGACGGATGCCGAACTTTGGAATTGTACGATGGGAACGAGCGAGCATAGCTTGCTGCTTTGTGAGTTGTTCAATAACACGGGAGGCACGTGTAACCTGATCACCGACAGCACCTGGGTTGATGTTGATGCAAAGCTTTGCAACACGGATCTCGTTGAGCTTGTTAGACATCAAAAGGATCGACCACAACCGTCGAAGGTCTATCGTCCTTCTTCAAATAATAGGATATTTGATAAATGAATGATGAATTAATAATCTCTATAATATTTATTCTTTTATTAAATATAAAACTTGATAATTTGGACAGATTTGAATCAAAACATTCAAAAATCATCAAAATTTCAAGCATTTGATATGATTTTATAATATCATTTTGTGCATTTTCGAATGAATTTTTCTTGTTTCTTAAGGGTGCACCCGTATGTACGTTTATTTGAGAGGAGGAGGATTACCCTCTCAATTTTGAGGGATTCATTAGTTTATTTTCTCGATGAATATGCAATAAAATTTGATTTTTACCTTATCAATATACTTCATATAATATACACATGTTCATGTAAAAACTTTTTTCCAAAATCCTCAGGAATTAATGGATTTTTGAATTTTAAGAATTTTTTTCGAATTTTTTCGAAAAAAAATATTTTCAGAACAGCCTTAACGGCTAAGATTTAGGAACAATGTTAAGTATCAAAAAGAAAGGAGGTCTGATATAGACAACATATATCGTTGAAGGTTGAAAAAATCTCTAATATTTGAGCCCAAAATTTCAAATTTTAATTTTTTGAAAAAAGAGGCCACCCGTATGTACGTTTATTTGAGAGGAGGAGGATTATATTTTTGAAAGGGTGAAACATTATGAATATGTTAATTATATAATAATATGTATTATTATAAAAAAGAAAAAATAAAGCACGTTAAAATTTTTCTTTCTTGATTTTTTACAAAATCTACCTAGAATTATGCAAAATATGACTAAATAATTATAAATTTCAAGTTAAATTTTAATTTTGATAAATAATTTAAATTTCAAAATATCAAGTTCAGTTCGACTATGTATGTAGTAATTCCTCAATAAAGTGCCAAAACCCCTATTAAAATATATGAACATTTTCAACATTTTAATGTTTTTATTTAAAAATTTGATGGAATATGAGCTTCAAACAATTATTATGTAAATAAAAATAATTAAATATATGTATTTATTCGTATTACAACCGTAGTAAGTCGATTCTTCCTTTCTTCTACTGAGTTTTGAATTTGATTTCGAATTGTAAAGAGATTCAAAGGGAAAATACTAGCGGATAAAAACTACCTCCATGAAAGGGTCATAATGGAGTCAAGTTGTATTTTTTGATATTTTTTGCTTTTCGAGCCTAAATAGGTAGCCAAGATAATGCCTAAAAATAAGGTTCTAAATTCTGAAGTTTACATGATCCTCTCGTGTGCACCCTTAATGAATACTACAATTAAAATATAAAATAAAAGATTTTTATGCTAGGTTTAGATTGTATCAGATAAAACTAAAACCAAGAATTGTTATTTAATATTATTTTGGAGGTTTTGCTTCTTCTAAGTTTACAATCCTATCTTTGTATTCATCAAAGTTATCTATCGTTAAAATTACTAATTGCCTCTTCGAAGTAAGATGATTTTGAGTAAATGGATTAACTTTCTTTTCATTAAGAAGTTTGAGCCATGTACTATAATCCAAAACATAATCATCTGGAGAAACAGCAGGAATTTCCATTGGCGTTTGGGTAATCATGTCAATATATCCGGGAATTGGATTCATCGCCATTCTTTCTTCGTTTTCGATAGATGTAGGGCCAACTCTAACGCGCCTATCTCCTTTAACGAATGTAATAGCTACAAAGTTGAGTTTTTTGGATTTTGGCTCTGCTTTTGGTGCTTCAATTGTAATTTTTCCTTGTTTTCGAAGTTTCTTCAGTAATTGTTCACAGTCTTCTTCTGTTTTGCCATAAAATCGAGAACAAAACGCCGACCATGTTTGTTCTTGGATAAAATTATTGTATTGGTAAACAAATTCGCTAATTTCTTCTGGCTCCCAGTTGACACTAGATTTTTTCTTTCCATTTTTCTTTTTCTTTCTAGATGAATACATTTCTTCATCCTGATCGCCGTCAGAATCAAGATCTGAATAAGATTTTGAAATTGATTTCGTAACTTTTTGTTCACGAAGAGGGAATCCTCGTTGAGATGCTTCAGAGATTATAGTTCTTGTAAAACTGGTCGTTTTCAATTGATCGAAAAGCATATTTATGTCATCATTGCATAATTCTAAACCAATGAAGTAATCAACAGGACGCCCTTCTGGCCATATATTCGAAAGTGTTTGGAAATTTTTATTTATTTTTGTTAATCTGATACATAACAATCTTTTTCGAAATTCCATAACAGAATCTTGAACTTCTTTCTCTAAATACATTGGTGGTGGCTGGAGTAGTGGCTCAATTGTCTCGTATGATATGATTTCTTCAACTTGGTCTTGACTTCCCTCCTGAGGAGGGCCACTACTCATCAAGAAAAGAAAGAAATCTTTTCTGGATAAGAAGTTCGTATTTCTCTCTTATAACGTGTTCAAATGAACTTAATGAATACGCTAATGCTTAATAGTCTCCGATAGCAATAAATAGAAGATATCCAAAAATTAATGGTAATTGAGCATTGTTCGAATGATCGATTACTTATCTTAGGTATAGAAAATATAAAAGTGCCACTAATATTTGAATTACTTGATTCCAATTGTCATTCTTTTTAATTGAGTTGAAATTCATTATTGGATCACCCAACAATATATTTCTGGATATTATGTTATATATTAGCGCAATAAATAAAGTATTCAGCATAGAAATTAACATAATTATTTTAGAATCATTCAAGATCAACATTAGGGAATAATAACAAATACTCTTCTATCGGTGGAAGTGAAGGTACATCAAGAATATGCTTCATTTTACGATATTCATCTGGATTAATACGTTCAATAACACTTGTCTTGGTTTTTCCAATTAAAGCAAGAACTAAGCGTGTTAACTCTTCTATGCAGTTGTATAAATCTTTCCAATCCTCATTAGTAACAAGCTTGGATAGAATTGGTTGTGAGATTGGCTCTCCTAGTGCGTGCACAGCAACAAATAATATGGCACATGCAATTGTTGATGCTCTGAATCTTAAAAATGAGCTAAATTGAAGATGAATATCTGCAAGGAACCACATCAAATTTTGGAGTGATTTAAAGGATCCAAATGCTGATTCATGGAGTTCCAAAAAGTCAGCAACACTTGGTATATTTACATCAAAATTAATTGCCCCAAGCATCTCCCCTTCACACTTTAAAAAATCTTGTGAACTATAGGCACCAGCACATTCTTCAACTAAACTTTGAAGAGAAAATGCTGTAGAATTAAACATCTTTGCACTTATAAATAGAGCTGTTGCACCCAATAGTTGAAATTTATCTTCATCGGAGCGAAGAGTGCATAAAGAGCGATCAAGAATACTAACTGCTGCAAATATCGCATTTCTCGATACTGAGTATTTATAGCATGTTGCAAAAATCCACTCAATGAGCTTAGATCTCATTTGAGCTGTGACTCCTGACTGAAATATCTCAGAAAGGGCATCAGGAGATATCTGTCGTGTGTACAAATGATCTAATATCTCAGAAGCATATGAAATACCGATTGAACGAATAGGAACTTTAAATGGAGTTTGTGCGACTTTTGTTCTGCGTTTTCCGCGTTTTTGACTTATGTTATCGATGACTCGTAGTGCATCTCTCCTTCCCATAATCATTGGAGTCGGAGAAAATGATGGGCGACGTCGTACGCCCTTCATTTCAAATCATGATGTACGTTTAGAAAATTTTCATTCCTATTGTTCTCTACATTTCACATGAAGTGAATGGATGAATGATCTAAATATCATAATTAATATTTAATGTAATGTCAGCAATGGCAGTATTCAAAAAATCGCCACGAATGAAATTTGATTATCATACAAGTTAAGATTGTTCTTGTTGGTTTTGATTAATCTATGCATTGTGCATCTTTATCCAGAGATCTAAGAAGATAGTTATCATATCTAATTAAATGATATAATTATTAAGCTTTGAATTAACAAAAAATAGTCGAACAAATATATTTCTGACTTCAATGGATTATATATGTGATTTAAAAGAAGATTCAAGATCAATTATTTTAATTTCATGAGGTTTATACTAAGAATCATGTTTCTTCTTATCCTATATTTTAAAATAGATACAATTATGACTAAATTATTAATATTTACAAACAATCTATAAAATTATATATTAACAAAAGTAAATCCATCATATAAACTGTCCATATACACAGGTTCTCCGAAGGAGTCTGCAGGACTGTCTTCTGATTGAGATCTGAGTTGTTCAATGGACTTAATATTTGGAATATAATTTGGTTGCTCTTCTAATTTGAGAACCTTGTTGAAATTGATCGATTCGAAGAATGGATGTGAATTTATTTCATCGATTGTTAGACGTTTCTTAGGATCTTTAACTAACAATTTTTGAATCAAATCTAAAAGTTTTGAGTCAATATTGGAATTAATTGATGGTTCTTCTTCTAGGATTGCTTTAAATGTTTTGAACTGGTTAGCTCTCTTAAATGGAGTACGGCCAATTGCCATCTCATAAGTGATAATTCCTAAGGACCAAATATCAACAGATGATCCGTATGGTTCATTGCGAACCATCTCAGGGGCAACATACTCCATTGTTCCGCATAATGATCTGAGTGGGTTTTGGCTAAATTTTGCCAGGCCAAAATCTGTTAATTTAAGGTGACCTTCTGAAGTTATTAAAATATTTTCTGGCTTTAAATCACGGTAAACAATACTTCTTTTATGGAGATCTTCAAGGCCTAAAACGATTTCGGCAAGATAAATTCGAAGATCATGTAATGGGATCGTACCTGCGCTAAGAATTCTCTGATGTAGATCGCCACCAGGAACGTATTCAAGGCCGAGATAAAATTTTGATGTTGTTTGGAATGAAAAGCAGAAATGGACGATGAATGGACAGCGAGTAACAAGAAGGACATCTCTTTCTACTATAACGGTATTTATTTTGTTTTGTTCCATTAATTGTGATTTATGAATTGACTTGATTGCATAGAATAACTGAGAATTTATTCTTCTGCATAAATTAACCTTTCCAAAATGTCCTCTTCCGAGCGAAGAAATAATTTCAAAACAGCTCATGTTCAAATTTGTGGAAGATAATGTTGCATTGCAAAGAGCATTGTATAATTTATCCACTTCATTTTTCGTTGAGGCCGATAAAACTATGAATTGGTTATTATTATATTGAATAATTATTTCATTGTCTTTAGTTTCTGGAACAAAATCGATTCTTGTACTGGCGGATAATGGAATCGCATGATAATTATTTGGAGTTAAGAGTCCTCTGTGTATGTATAACTTATTGTCAGCGATATAACATTTTCTGTTATGCCAAAAACCTAATTTAGAACCTCGTTCTTTGATGGTCCCTTCATATAGAACGCGCATTCAAAATAAAATGTTTGAAATTGAAAGCTCTCTTAAAGGAATTGAAAAGGTAGACGTTATATGTTCCTATGATCTATTTGATTGTTAGAATGATGTTATATATGTTTGCTCAAAAAAAAAAAAAAAAAAAAAAGGTAGTGGGGCCTCCAGGCACTTCGTGCCCTCTAGCCCTGAAGATGTTTAGTATAACCTTGTCCGGACAAGTAAGGGTCTATCGTCGCTACAGGAAAAGTTACAGGCGTTCCAAGGAAGTATACTTTGAGAAGCCTTTTCCCCTTATAGAATGAGATAGGACGGTTATTTTACAAAACTGACAACACTTTGACCGAGTAGTTTTTTGTGCTGAACAAAAAGTGCCATATAAACATCTGTCAAAAACCGCTTTTTAACTTCACTTAAAATGCCACGTAAGCTACGTAAGAATATACGTAAGAGGAAGAGAGCATTGAAACATCCAATAGTAAAACTGACACCACAACAACAGTTGCAACAACAAATAATGAATGACCCCACTATGTTGCAACAAATGTCAAGCAATCCTATGCTTTTAAACCGAGTTCTTGGTGCACAGAGTGGAGGTTTAAGAGCGGCACTTTTAGCGAAAATGGCAGGCTATGGTGGAGCTGCAGACGGAACAGCCTATAACCCTCAAAGTCAAATGAATTTGAGTTCACTCAAAAATCAAATAACAGATGTCAAAAAGTCAAACATAGACATACAGAAACAAATAAGTGAAAACGAAAAGAAACTAGAATATGACAGACACACAAAGAAACTCAATGAGTTAAACGTAGAGAAAAAGAAGAAAGAAGAACAACTGAAAGAACTAAGTACAGAGGAATATGCGAAAAAAGTGTCAGAAAAAGCAGCAGAAGTAGCAAAAATGGAACAAGATGTTATAAATTTGAAAAACCATACTACTCAATATAAAGTACTGAAAGATGAAGAGATAAAACAAAAAGCCCTGAAGACATATATGGATAGCGATGAGTATAAAAAAGAAGTTGAAGCAAATGTAAAGGCAGAAAAACTTTTACAGTTGCAAAACCAAACCGTACAGTATGAAAACTTAGCACAAGAAAGTAAAAATAACGACGCAGCCATGCAAAAGGCAATGAAAAGCGCAGAATATATAAAAGCTAACAATGACTGGTTAGATGCCCAAGCCAACGCTAAAGCAGCCCAACTTATAGGGTCAATAAGGACAAAAATACAAGCGGATGAAGACAGTTCAAATGAAGCTTTAATGAATGCTGACTTTAAGAACGCCTTCGAAGCTCTTCATAGTAAGGTGAAACTAGTGAACGACTTCTCATCTGGAAAGAAACTGAAGTCTGAAGGTTTCGACAACGAGTTAAGAGAAGTAGCACAAAATATGACGAAAATAACAGATGCAGCAACGAGACAGGCAGTTCAAAGTGCCTATGACGCCGTTAGAGCAACTGTTGTGGAAAGTCAAGAAAAAGAGTTACAACAGACCAAAACAGACCTAGTAAATGCTTTCTTAAAAAACGAAAAGTCAGGTAGGACATTATGCTGCAGATGGAACATATGTGCCAGCTGGTGGAACTTATATACCAGCTGGTGGAACTTATATACTAGCTAGTGGAACTTATATACCACCAAACCCTCCAAGAGAAGCACCTGCACCAGGACTACCTAAAACATTTACATCGTCACATGGACACAGACACAGGCATGCACCAAAACCAACACAACAACCAACAGTTCAAAATCCAGCACAACAACCACCTCCACAACCAGCACAGCAACCAACAGTTCAAAACCCTGCACAACAACCACCTCCACAACCAGCACAACAACCAACAGTTCAAAACACTGCACAACAACAACCACAAACAGAGCAAGGACATAAAAGAAGTAGAGAACAAGGAAACCAAGAATTCTTAAAAATGCTTAAAGAAGACTATGGTTACCCAGATACTCTTGACTTTAGTGACAGATATAAAGAAGCTATTAGAAAGTTCAAGGAAGGAAATACTGACCCGAACCTATTTAGCTTTATGGTTCAGCACCAAATGGGATATAATTTCAAACCTGGAAAATACAAGCTCGCTAAGGGATATGATTTAATAGCATATCATCCAAATGACATGAACGAATTTACTCCGAGATATTTGGTGTCAGAGATAAATGATGATTCAACTATCTTCATGAAACGCGTAAAAAATAGAGACGGAACGAAAGAACAAAGGCTTATGAATGCGGATGACTTAAATAGGGAACTTGTTGAAAACGGTCTCGGAATATATGAAATGCCAGCAGATGAGGTACAAGAAACTCCACAGGAAGAAGTTCAGATACAACCAGACATGGAAGAAATAGTTCAGCAACAACAGCTAGAAGAGCCTGAAGGAAACGAACAAGTCCCTCCTTTGGAAACTAACTTCACAGAACTAGATGAAGATTTGGAACAGCCGAAAAATCTTGACCCTCAACAAGAGTATGAGGTGAATATGGAATCTTTCCAAGAGTCTAAAAAAAATTCGGCTGACATGGTAGAAGAATATCGAAAAATGTTTGCCGACATACAAAAGACTCCAACACCAGATGAAAATATTCAGCATAGAATGGAAGTACTGAAAGAAAATGTACGCAAATACAATAACCCTTTTTACTTACGACCATATAACGTTCAATCTTTTGCTGAACTCGGTGAAAATAAAAGGTTAAATTTCAACAAAACATATAGAAATGAAACATTGTTTAAAGTTCATTCAGAACCTAACCAATATGGAAACAAACCTACTTTTGTTTCTGCAGACTATGGAACTACAATGAGATGGGGTCATAAAGCAAATCCGGATAGGTGGTTCATAAACTTACAACCACAATTCCAAGAAGTTGTAGACGCAATGGAAGTCAATGGTGAACCAGATATAGCTGGTATTTTAAGCGCGGCTTTAATGCCATTGAAAGATATGAAACATGCAGATATTTTGGACCAGTATGAAATGAACATGGCTGATGGAAATATAACACCTGACGTTCTAGAACATTTATCTCAAAGAACTACACAGAACCATAGAGATGGTATATTTGGTGAAGAGTTTAGAAAGAAAGTTAGGGAGACAGAAGGAAGAGAACCTATTGTACATGACCTTGCAAACGAAAGTTTACAAAATGTCATAAAAACTTACTTTGCAGACAATGAACCGAGAAGGGATGAATATTTAAGAAAACTCAAATGGACAGTACCAAATGAAATGTTAGTATTGAAAAACATGTTCCTTGACAAAATAAAACCAACTACAGAAATAAATGACGCAAGACTGAAACATTGGGTAAAAGCTTTCCCATTCACAAAAGATATTGTTGGTAACATGGAAAGAAAACCAGAATGGCTACAAAAACATATATTTGGAAACGAGCTTATTCCATATGGACAAGCTCTGTTTGAAGAGCTTGAACCGGAAACTCAGGAAAGAGTCATGCAAACAATACGCGAAGACTCAAATACAAACTATGACAAAATCTTTCTAGGATATAGGTTACCTGAGATGGGCGACCAGAGCCCAAAGGCAAAAAGGACATGGAAAATTTACAACATACTAGGTGAACATGAGGCAAAGATGCAACAACTTGAAGCAGAGGGCAAGTTACCAAAGAAGAAGAGAAGAGTAGAACAAAGTGAAAGTAGTGAAGAAGTAACTTCATCTAGTGAAAGTAGTGGCAATGAAGGAAAAAGAAGAGTTAAAAACTCAGTCAGGAAGAAAGTAAAGCTTGGTCCACGTGGGTTCTATTATGACACATAAATCCAACTATTCTATATTTTTACCCATATGAAATGTACGCCGCTCAGAATATAACGCCAACAGTTTTGGATGCCATGAATGGAAATGTTTCCGAATGGTATAACGAATGCGACAATGCCATTAGAAGGTCAGAAATAGTTCCTGGAACTTACGAATATACAACTGCTGTTTCTTATGGAAACGTAGGTGAGTTTGGAGAAGGTTCTTCAACAACAGTAGATATTGCTTGCGACAGGTTTCATATTATTTCTATTGACAACTCATTCTTATACGTGGAACAAGACATTGAAATAAAACCTTCTGCCAAGTTGTCTGACAAGAAAGGTTGCAATGGAATTTTCTATGTCGGATACCAATATGCTCCAGAAGTTTTCATGGGATATAAGATATATTCTAACTCTGACTTAGTTCAAACAGTAACATGGGCAAACTATGAATGGTTCGCTTTGAGAAACTCAGTACAACCACAAGCTAGAGAACAAACAGACCAGTATGCAACTATTGAGAAAATAAGAAGACTTGACCCTAACGTTCCAGGAGTTTATGTTAACCTTTCTGGACAAACTGCAGCAGCAGTAACCAAAGTAAAACTGAAACTTAGAGTTCCTTTGTCATCTTTCCTCATCTTCAGGTTTTTAAGATACTTGCCAAACTGGGCAGGAAAAATTTCTATTGAACTTACTCCAAGCAAAAATAACTTAGTCATTGCACCAACACAAGACCCATTCACTCTTACAGAAGTAGTGGGAACAAATAAAATGTCATTCGCCGACTTTTGCAAAAACAAAGTTGACTTAGACTTTGGTTTCTCAAACCTCAACACTGAAGTAAACTATTATTTCAATGCTGCTGGAGATGCTTGGGACCCAGTTAAGTTCACATGCGAAAAGTTTGAATGCAAGAGAATAGAAAGCAGACTTGCAGTCTATATGTTGGACCCAGATATTTCAAATGCTTTAGCTGCCAAATATATTGCAGTTCCACTTATGTTCCCTATACACCAAATATCTGTCAAAGACTTTGCAGGTGAAGTTGGAAACCAAAGTGCTGACCCAGGTGCAAGAACAGATATTGCCTTAACAACTGCAATGAAACATGCAGATACTATGTTTGTACTGTTCAGACGAACTATAAATGACTATTCTTGTTTCTACAACCCCGGTATTAAATATCATATAAACATAGATGGCAAATATTATCCAAGAGAAGAATATTCTACAGTTGAGGATATGAGGTCATACAACTTGACATTAGATGCTATGAACTTTAACAACAACTTCACAACAACCATAAACCCTGAAATGCAAAGTTCTATTATGCCATATGTGAAAGTATGGACTCATACAGGAGGTCAAAAAACTCAATATACAAATGGAGACCGTTCAAACTTTTGGCTTGGCATTCCATTTGCTGACTCAGAAGACTTTATGGGTGGTATTTCAACTGTTGGTACTGTACAAATACAATATACTGGTGACAGAGACGGTCCAGATGAACTGAGAGCAAAGAAGTTTACAAAACCAATAGCACTTTTCACGGAAGATGCTCTTTTGAAGATTCGTTCGATGAAACCTGCTGGGGCTCCTCAGATTGGCATAACGACAGCTTCCATCGAGCAGATTTTGGCAGCAGGTCAGTAAGTTGTTCTTGAACTGACTTCTCTCCGTCAAATATTGACAGTACGCCAGTTTTGACATAATATTGTATTATAAACTTACCTTTAGAAATATCTGTAAGTTTTGTTGTTATATTTTTGTCTGCTTCAAGAACTTTCACCATTTCAGTTATACCAACTTTCTTTGCTTTATGAAAATATTTTGGTTCAGCAAAGACTGCTATTCTATAACATTTACCATTGTTTGTATAAAGAACTATTCTGTCAATGTATTTGTATTGTTTGTGTGTGTAAACTTTGTTTTGCTTCAATTCGAAGAGATACTCGAATACGTCCATATTTTTATTCGAAGTAAAATGTCATTTCCGAAAAATAGAAGCGTAAGTGTTTCAAAAGGTTTAATGGCGGTGGCAGATGTGAAGTTAAATTCACCAACTCAAACAAACAGTCAAAGTGTTATTGTCAATGTCAAAGACAGAGATGTTGAAGTGGGGAAACCATACGAAGACGAAGATGGTATAACAATTGTTCCTGTAAAAGAACAACCAACATACCCTGAAGTTAGCAGAGACTTAAGTTCTGTTGCAGATATTCGAAACGACTACCAACAACTGAAAGACAAACTTCAAACTCAGGAGAAGATTTGTCAAGCTTTAGGTATAATGTTAAACTTGGTCGAACA